GACAGCTGTGAGTCATCTGTCATCCATGTGAGTTACTGGAGCTTGCTGTCTGATGTTTTCTCTCCAGGAATGATCACAGCCGTTGGACTCTCTAACCTGCAGTTCATCGATTTAAACTCTTCCCGGAACCTCTTTGTGCTTGGATTTTCAATCTTCTTTGGGCTCGTTCTTCCAAGTTACCTCAGACAGAACCCTCTGGTCACAGGTAGGGAAAATGGGCCTTGAATCTCGGGGGGGAGTGGGAACCAGAGCCTCCGGTTAACAAACAGCTCACCACCAGTCAGAGAGGACTTTGGAACTTCAGGATTGTCTTGGTGAATGCTCATCTGTGTGTTTCATTTGAATCGCACTTTGCTGCAGTTTATCTGGAAGCCCTTGCACTTCCCACAGGAGCTGGCTGTGCATGTAACTAACATGTATGTCCCCCTTCCCCACTCCCTTTTCCCACCAGGACCCGCTCCTTTGGGAGAATGCCTCTGTGTAAAACCTTTTGATTTCTCAGACTAAGGCTCTATTAAAGTGTATAATTTCTTGAACTCTACAGACTTTGAAATACTTGTTTTTCTACAGGGATTATAGCTACTTTGAATTCAAGATTACCCTTTTAGGCCCTTTCTTTTCAATTTAATTCCTCAATGTCATGAAGAGGAGTAAAGGGGAGCCATCTTAAAAAGCTATTGCTGCCAGCATTTTATAGAATTGGGGACTATTTTATATGTATGTGTATATATATGTGTTTTTTAAAGTGAAATTCATGTAACCTAAAATCGACCATTTTAGTGTGAACAGTTTACTTTCATTTTAGTACGTTCACTATGTTATATAGCCACCACTTCACATCGAGTTTTTAAAACAATCTCATCACCCAAAAATAAAAGTCCTTGACCATTAAGAAGTTAATCCCTGTTGCCTCTCTTCTTCCAGCCCCCGCAGCCAGCAACCTGCTTTCTGTTTCTGTGATTTTCCTATTCTGTATATTTTGTATAAATGGAATCATGTGATGTGTGACTTCTTGTGTCTGTCTGTTCTCGCTCAGCATAATGTTTTCGAGATTGATTATGTTATAGCATGTATAAGTATTTCATTCCTTCTTATGGCTAAATAATAACCCCATTGTATGTTTATACCATAATTTGTTTATCCATTTATTCAATGAAGGACATATGGGCTGTTTCCACCTTTTGACTGTTGTGATTAGTGCTATTATGAAAGTTGGTATGCAGTATAGTCTTTATTTTATTTTTCAATTACAGTTTATGTTCCATACAGTCAGTTCTCATTCTTGGTGGTTATGTTCCCTGAGCACGGACTTAGCAAATCCTGACCCATTGTTCCTAGGGGGAGGACACCAACAGCACCATAAATGGTGTCTGAATAGAGTACATCTGACATGTACTTTCTCCATGAGACACATCACAGCCTCCTTGCAGTTAGGAACGCTAGGCAGCACTTCAGCACAACGCTCGGGGGCCATTTTAACCAGCAAAATCACCAACAAAAACACAGAAACGTGAGAAAAGTGGTACTGCATAGACTGCTAACAGGACATGTGCTTATAGCATGAGCTGAAGCAGAAGGCAGAGTGCCACCTTGTTTGACCTCAGCCCAGAACATGCGTGTTGGGCAATGGGGGGTTTTCACTGCCCTGTGTGTGTCTGTGATGACTGAGTGCATCACAGGTATAAATTTTAGTCTGTAGGCAAATTTACAGATACAGAACTTGGCAGTAATGAGGATTTACTGTGTTGGTTTGAGTAACTGTTTTCAATTATTTGGGTATACACACATGAGTTCATATGTTTTAAATGGGGAAAGTATGTGAACTTCTCATCTCAAGGAGAGTGTTGCTGCTTTTGACATTTTTATATATCAGCTACATGAGGACATTTTTATAAATCCAGTTGTTTCTATTTAAAAGCTAAGCACAGATTAGTGACTCAGAATTGTGAAAACCACAAATAGTTCCATTGCCTTTTTTATTCACTGTAATTTTCCAGCATTACACAGCCTCTTTTATATCGATTTTTTTTTTTTTAAATCTGCAAGCAGCATCTCCAATGGCTTCGTATTTCATTATAGGGTGACATTACACTATTAGATGCTAAGAATTTCCCTTTGATTATTGTTGAAGGTATTCAGAGTAGTTTGGAACATTGTCACACATGAACAACAGGCGTGCCCACTTCCATGCACCGCGCTCACTGGCCGCTAGTGCCCACCAGTGCTCCTTTCCGAGGCAAGCGCGGGCGTGTCCCAGCCGCACTGACCCCATCGCTGTGCTCTGTTTCTAGGGATAGCAGGAGTTGATCAAGTGCTGAACGTTCTTCTCACAACTGCTATGTTTGTAGGCGGCTGTGTGGCTTTTATTTTGGATAACACCATCCCAGGTATGTGGTATATATCAAATGTGCTTATTACTTATGTGAATTGCTTTTTTGCCAAATAAATACAGGAAGCAGGAGGAGTAAGTCAGTTCAAAGCCATCACTGGTCAAAACTCTTTTCTAAAGTGATTAAAATGACACTTCTAGCCTTCTTTTATGAATCAGTTTTTTGCTAATACACTTAATATTGTGTTGTTTTCCTACTTGCTGAGCTACTTTTCAGAGAAAGTGGGTAAATTCCGTTCATGTGGTGAAATGGCAGTGGGCTGCCTTGGGCACACTCCAGCCTGCCTGCCCTCCCTGCGCAGCCTCGCCCAGCGCCCTGCAGTTTGGTTTCATTGACTTGTTCACACCCCCTTGGAGCCAGCTGGTAACAGCCTCTGGCACTTCTCCTGCTTAGGGAGCCTGTCCTTTAAATGAGTCTTTCCTAAGGCAGGCGCCAGCCAACTAAGACCAAATGTCAGCAAGTACAGTGGGCACAGGCTGCTGCCAGGATCAGCGATGGCACAGGTAGGGAGGCAGCATTCCTTCAACACGCATAAGCCGTGTATATCAGCTGGTTGATGCCAAGTGTTGGGTGATGGACTAGAATGTGACGTGGGCCTCGCCTTATGGCCTTCTCACCTTCCTACAGCGGGCTGCTGTGTACTGTCGCAGAATGCCACAGACACACCGGTAGGTTCACCTGCCACCCAGGAAGGGTGATGCTTAATCTTGAGCTTAAGGGTCTGACTGAGCTTTTCTCCTCTTAAAAGCCTCAACAAAGAGCTTGCTGGGGAAATGGGGATGAACACTCTGGCAGGAGGAATCACATATATGAATAGTTGGAGGGTGTTAGATTTATGAGGTTCAATAACACGCTCTTTCTCTCCTAAGTCAGAACTAATTGAGGGAGAGGCATAGGAGTCAGAGAGATGGAAGTTAAAGTCAGCTTTGTTACTGAAACACCAAAGGGATGGAGCCGTAGCTTAGTGTAAGAAAATGAGGGTCCTAAATACTGCACCATAAACGCGAGCTTATCACCCAGGCTTGGGCACAGGGTATATTGTTATATATCCTATTGTAGCTGTGGGCAGGCGCTGGAAACATCTGTGAAAAAAGTGCAGGACTTGCTGAGAGATCTTTCTTCCCTTGCTCACCTGTCAGGGTACAGAGTGGCCCAGAGTGTTAACCAGTGCAAATTCATCCTCGCAGGAGTACAACAAGTGGGGAGTAGAAGAGTGCAGTGCACATGTGTGCGTGCGTGCGCACACACATACACACTAAAATAGAGTAGAGCGGTATAAAACTCGGCATGTATGATTTGAGGGGTTGACACAACCTGTTGATGAAGACGTTGTATGTGGCATAGCAAATAACTCTGGGTCCCATTTTGCAAGATCAGATTGGCATTTTAGAGAGAGGTTTTGTTGTTTTTTGCACAGTGTTTGAGAACAGATTTGGGGGAGGGGGTGGTGAGATGGAAGACTGGATAAAATGACCCTGGAAAGCAATGGCATGGCCCAAGCCAGACCTCAGCAGTAAAAATTGCAGTAAGCATATGCATCACATGGAAGGACGGGGTGTGGGAGGCAAAGGCATTGGGAGGTCATTTGAAGGTAGAGCTAGAGGAACATGGATGGATTAGCGACTCTTAGACTTCCGGTTCGGGCACCTGGGTAGCTGAGTGCCATCAAGTGTGCTTTGCTGTCATCCAGCAGGTTCGAGCCATGGGACAGCAGGTTGGACTCTCAGTTGTTGGCAGAGCTGTTAAACTAAACACTCTGTTGCTTTGTCTCGATGTGTGTGCCCTGTAGGTACCCCAGAGGAAAGAGGAATCCGGAAGTGGAAGAAGGGCGTAGGAAAAGGGAGCAAATCGCTTGATGGCATGGAATCCTATGACTTGCCATTTGGCATGAACGTTATTAAAAAGTACCGATGCTTCAGCTACTTACCCATCAGCCCGACCTTCGTGGGCTACACGTGGAAAGGCCTCGGGAAGAGCTCGAACAGCCGGAGCTCGGATGCGGACTCGCAGGCCACGGTATAGCTGTAGCTTGCCCTGTGGCCCAGCCGCAGTGAGGCATGACCTGTAGTTTCTTGCTGAGTACCAAGCAGTAACATATATGTTTGTATATCTGCATTTACATGCTGCACCCCAGAGCTAAGACAGATTGCAAGTAGTGTTTCTTGTTGTGAGTGGTGATCGTGTCTAATATGGTGTCTTGCCTTTCTCCTTATTTAAGTCCCGACCCCTTGCCCTTGAGAACGTCCACTGCTGGCTGTGGTTGCTGAACTTGAAGTTCCTGCCCTCCTGTGGGAGATGTTTGAAATCCACGGCGACTCCTGGTGTTCAGTCCCCCTCCCTCCACCCCATGCTAGCTTTCTTACAGGCCGCCTCGGGGTGCAGGGGCTTTCTGTCCTGGGAGCCCCTGGACCTGCTTGGTTTGGGTTTTGTTTTGTTTTGTTTTTTTGACCTCGGCCTGAACCACAGGAGACCCCCTGTGGTCAAGGGGCACCAGTATCCTCGCATTGTCACAACTGGTCAATTGTGATTCTGTGTTCCCTGATACTCCTGTAGGAGGAGGCTGGTGACCTGGTTGAAAACAGTGACATGGTTACCCTACGCCCTGATCTGTGCTCAGGTAAGGTCTGCACACATAGTATTAGGATGGAAATGAGGGGAAAGGAAAGTACCGTGAAGTCAGTATCTGATTTTTAGTGGCTCTCTCGGTGCAACCCGGGCCCAGGCTGGGCCAGCGCATTTCACACTGGCCTCTCTGCACTAGTAGCCAAGACACACTCTCTGACGTTTCTCACTCCTGGTGGCATGACAGTTAGAGAGTGCCACAAAGGGGCACCAACCAGATGTTTATGGGAGTCTTGGCTCTGCTGTCATGTGGATGTCAGTTATTGTCACGTGTCTATAAATACAAGATTTTATTTCTATTTAATGTTATTGACCATAGCAGATTTTTGAAATCAGTGTTTTTCCACATGACCCCCTTACCTTGCATCCTTATTGTGCCTCACCCACCCCCTCCCATTAAAGAAAGAACCAGCATTTGTAAAGCTGTGGACACCATCAGGGAAAGCTGTTGGCATGGCTTGTCAAGGCCAGTAACCATTATTGTGGTTGTGTTTTGTATTGCTTGATACCATGAAAGTGTAAATACTGTAATACCTAATCTATTTATCAAAACTACTGGATCAGAGCTCAGAAACCATGGTTATGTTGTACGTGAATTTGTTTTGTGAAGAAGGGAAGCCAGGGCAGGTGATGAACAGCTGCCGTATTGCAGGGTCCTGTTGCAAGTCTTTCTGGCAGTTAAGGCTTGAGGGGACTTTCTGTGGGTTGCCATGTTGCCTGTCCACTGGGTGTTGGTTTGGCAAAGAGGAAGATAAGATCCCCTGGCCAGATGCTGCCGTTCTTAAGTTACTGCAGAAGGTGATGGTGAGAAAGGCAGCTGGCAGGTCCCCCCTGTTGAGTTCTAAATAAATAACACTAAGTTCTTTTGGGGAGGGGGAGAGGGAGGGGGAGACTTCTGTTGAATTTGGTTTGAAATTTTTCAGCCAGAAAAGTCTGAGACAAAGTAGTGAGCTCACTTCATGAGGTGATGCTTCTCTTCCTAAGTGTTCATTGACCTGGTTGAGACTCAAGATGGCAGTGGGTGCTGCTGTCTGCAACAGCAGGACGTGGTCTGGTCCCCAGCAGCCTTGTGTCCACAGGGTGCATTTCCTGCCCCCAAGAAAACCAAACTGGGTTGTCTTTGGCATTATTGTGTCATGACAGCCTCCTTGACTACTGGGAAGGTGGGGGGTTTCAAGGCTTGTTCTGGCAAGAACTCTTCAGAGCCACTTCATTGTTTTGCCAAGACCTTATTGCAGATTAAGTAAAGAACTTAGATTGTAAATTACGTTTAATTTTGTATGTTCCTTTCTTTTGACGTGTATTTGATGCTTAGTTTCTTTTGAAGCACCCCCGTTAGCCATTTCCATCCCTTTGACTTGGTAAGCTCTCGAGGCTGGCAGCCCTCTGACACTGAGTCACTCTCAGTTCCTTCTAGTTGTATTTTAGCTCAACATCTAAATTTCTCAGCTTTGAAAAATGGGCAAAACCATTACACCTCCCAAAGATTTGCAGTATTCTAGCTCTGTAGGTAAGCAGGACCAAATACCCAAATAAAAGCATCTGAACCATCAGTAATTCAGAAACAAAAAGTTCCCTTTAACTTATCTTGACCAGGCATGTCCAGAAACCCACTCACTCCGTTATGAAACCCCTCTTTGGGTCAGCTTTTACTGGGAGGTTTCAAATCTGCAAGCATTCATATGTGGAGGGAAGCCCTATACCCACACCACCTGTTGGGAAGAGGGGTTTTACCCTTCTTGTTCCACTGGGGCCAACTTGGAGTCTCTGTCCAAGGGAGGGAGTGGAGAGTAGGGACAGCAGGTGGGGAGGAAAGAGGTCAGCCTGACCAGAGGCCCCAGTGAGTCTGCACAGCCTGTGAAATTCACCTTTGCCTGAGTGATTGGAACCTTAGGATGACTAATTTTGCACATGCAGTGCACACCAACCATTTTAGGAAGTGATCCTTCTGCTAGCAGATGTGTGACAGAATGAGTCTAATTGAAAAAAATGTATTCATCTGCTGCTTGGGTTTGAGCATCAACTGCAGGGAAAGTTTGGGGGGCGTGCAGTGGCCATGCATGACTGTCCCTGTGAACTTCCCACTTACACTGTTGGCTTGCATTGCTGGGGTGCACACCCACCAGGCTTTGTTTGGCCAATAGAATGTTTTAAAATATTTTATATGTAAGTGTCCTTGGGCAGGGCATTCAGTCTCCAATTTCCATAGTGAACACCTACCCACCATCTTCACATGTACGTGAGCCATTCTGATGTGGAAAGTAAGTAGAAAGTATTTATAAGGACAGTAGATGCTGCCGTATCCCAGTGGGGGTGGGTAACGGGGACCCTACCACTGGTCTGGTAAAGTATCTAACACAGAATAATGAGAAGTAGCTTTAGTCTTTGTAAGCAATTTTCATTCTCATTTGGGAATTAAACTCCAACTCATTGGTATCAAATCTTTCTTAGGAGGGTGTCAAATGTTAACTTTCAGTGAGTTTGTTGTGATTTATCAAAGCAAGAGAAGTGGCTTAATCAGGTCAGCTGGAATGAAACATCATGGGTCCTGATGGTTTCCCATTTTCATGGTAACAAATTCACACACAGGATTTGCTTTATACTGTAGAATACTGACTTTCATGATGAGAACTTGGTTTATGCATGAATATTGCAGTATTTCCATATAGTAAAATAACATTTCTGCCCAGGATAATAGTCTCAGTTTTCCAGGGAGGGAATGATATACTTTTCATGACAATGTCATGTGATGATAGAATTTCTCCATTGATGAATCTCTAGTATGTGTGTATACTTTATTTACCCATGCGTATATTTTATGACCACGAGCTAAGTTGTTATTACTTTAATTCATGTCCCTGCTGAAATACTGGTACTAGCAATTTAGACTTGAAGTTGGCGACTGTAATCTTCCTTAATATTGATGCCACCAAGAACGGCCAGGACAGACAGAAGGTGAGAAAGGAGCTGTGGTGGAAACCTCATTCCAGAACCTGTCTGGCCCGAGGAGAGGCAGCATCCTGCAGGCCGCTGTGCTTGGGGTGTGCACCGGGCTGCAGACACCAGGCCTGGCATGGCTGTCACTGGCTGCCCGGTATGTGCACCCAGCCACGCCTCCTGGACACTGTGGCTGTGCAAATGTGCCTGAGCATTGGCAGGCCCATTTCTCCAGGGAGCCACCCCTTGGCTTTGGAGAAGAGCCTGGATTTTCACCTACTGCATGTGTTGTGCTCTGTCCCCCTATGACCTGGACACAGAACAGGACACCTCCCCCCTCTACCCTACCTGCGGCCACAACCCGAGCAGTGCAAGAAGACTGCCTAGTTTTGCCCGTGTTCAGGTTCCGCCCATGGACCCAGAAAGCACATTCGGGCTGGGGATCCCTTTCAGCAGCCTCACACATTCCTGTCCTCCCAGGTTATTCCTGACCGGGCCTCGTCATCACTCTGCATAAGTAACTCCCAGCGTCCTTAGAATTGCCGTGCGTGTTTTCTGGCATTTAGGACACCCTCACCGGCGTGGCCATCTTACTGACAGTCCAATCTTACCCTTTTTCCTTTGTTTGTAACAACCTTTGTTGACTCGTTAATAAATTTCTGACTGTTCTTAACACGGTGGGGATGCCTATATTTTCCTTGAGTTTTTGTGACTGACTTTGGCTATGTACCTTTTCGGGATTTTGTTTGTTTTTTTATTTTGCATACCGAGGGTATTTAGGGTGGGGTTGTTTTTGAGATGTGTAATTCTTTTACGGAGTTTTTAAAAAGAATTTTCATATTGTTTTTCTAACATGGCCTCATTAAACGTTTAAGTATTTTAAAAATATGTAATATTTGGACCAGATGTTGTGAATAATAGTAGAGATAAAGCTATTTTATTCTGTATTTTTAAAACTGTTCCGTACAAATAAAAGCTCTCCTGGACGCAGCTCTGCTGTTCACTCGCCTCCTTCTTTGGCTGTTCTTTAAGAAACTTGTCTTTAAAACAGGTCATCACCTAGGGGAGGGAAATCGACTGATAAAAAATGCAGTTTATCAGGTTCACAGACGGTGTTGTTGGGTGCCTGGGAGATGCTTGGAGAAAACCACAGCAGGCTCCTTGGGAGGATGCCTGAGGGACACTGAGACCGCAGAGGATGCTGGAGTTACGAATCTCTCATTAAGGCAGCAACATCTGGAGATTGGGGATCTTTCAGGGACTGGTGATCAGAAAGGCTATCTGTCCGCACAGTGGAATCAAAGGCTCTGAGAGCAGCCTGGGCCACACCAGGCGCACTGAGTGTTTAGGTGGGTGGGAAATGCCGAGAGCTGAGCCTAAGAGCAGCCGGTGTGAGGTATGGGTGGGGTATGGAGGTGAGTCCAGAGGAGCTTCGGTGTCCTTAATTTAGAGGAGACTTCGAGCTCCCCATTCCCATCTCCATCCCTGATTCGTCTCTGGCAGTTTGGGCCATGAGTGACCACCACAGATACTCCCGTGTTCCCAATATCCCTACCTGTGAGCCATTGCTAGACAACCAATCACAAGGTGAAATGTTTATTTTAAAGTATTTTTAGAATAAGAAGACCCATGTTCCCACCTCCACCTGGGACAACGGCACATCACCAATACCTCAGACACCCCCCACCCCATCCCATGGGCCTCTCCTGTTGCATCCCATCCCGCACAAAGAGCCACTACCTGGATTTTGGTCCATCTTTTCCTCGCTTCACAACTGTGCCATATACATATCCCTAAACAATTTACTGTTTCATTTTGGTTTTGCATGTTTTTGAACGTTATGGAAAAGGCACGATACAGTGTATGTGTGGTCACGTTCCACTCACTTGTGAGGTTCATGTTGCTACACACCTAGATGTAGTTCATCCAGCTTCACTGCTGGGTAGTGAAATTTGAGGTTAACAAAGATGAAGATCACTCCGAAAGCTCCCGGAGAGAGGACGCAATGGACAGCAGGGTTTCCAGCAGCAGCCCTGTCTGTGGAGCTACATGTTTGAGGACTGAAGGGACAGAACTCTGAATTAGAATTTTATGTCCAGCCACTCAAAAGCCCCTATTTACATACTTTGGATGAAGTACTTAAATAGGAGAAACAAACCTGGGAAGTGTTGTAGGAGATACTGAGGGAAAGGTGAGCAAGAAATACCTCGGTAACCCTGGTTCTTGGTCTGTTCTGTTGCTATCACAGAAAACCATAGACTGGGTGGCTTAGAATCAACAAACATTTCTCAGTTCCTGAGGCTGGAAGCCCAGGCACCGGCAGATTCGGTGTCTGATGAGGACCTGCTTCCTGGCTCATAGATGGCCATCTTGAAGTGTCTTCACATGGTGGAAGGGGTCAAGGGCCCATCTCTTTGCGGCCTCTCATGAGGACTAGACCCATTAATGAGGGCTCTGACCTTATGACAGAGTCACCTCCCAAAGTCTCTACGTGCAGATTCCATCACATTAGCAATTAGGTTTCAACATATGAATCCTGGGGGACGGTCAGTAGCACCTGGTCATAAAGAAGGGAGGGCCAAAGGAAAGAAGAAAGTCCACGGGGAGTGGGTGCGGGATGGGAGGGGCCAATGGGGAAAAAAGGGGACATCTGTAATATTTTCAACAATAAAAGATTTTTTAAAAATCCATAATCTCAAATTACAATCCGAGGCCATATCACCTTGGTGATGGGGAAGGAGAGGAGATTTACAGAGATGAGAGCAGGACCAAGTGTGCCAAGTGAAAGATAGATTGTTAGAGCAGGTGGCAGAACAAAATCCTGGTATGTGGTGTTTACAACACTGGTGTTCAAAAGTGTGGCTGTGATTGTTGAAAGCTGTAACACCTATGAAGTTGGTGATCGTGTCTTAGAAATGTTATAAAAGTTTATGAAATTTTCTAAGCAATTTGACAATTATATATATTGAATCTAAATACTAAACTATCTGGCTTGTACTTTAATTTTAGCAAAATAAAATTCCATAATTTTATTATTTAAAAAAATATTTTATAGAAGTCTTAGAGCCTATAATGGATTGGAAAAAGCAAAAACAATTCACCCTTCACCACAGGTGTGTTTAGAAGCGCTGCTCACGTAAGGATAGGTCAAACAAAGTGAAAAGGGTGGGGGGAAATCACATGGGGCAAATTCTATCACATTTTCAGACAAAATATATCCTAAGACAAAAGGCATTGTTAGGGATCAGGAGGTTCATGATGTAATGCTAGAAAGGTTCAATTTTCAAAGAGGAGTCAGTTTTTAAATCCATGTACCCCATTAGACGGCCTCGAAATTCATACCGTATAAATGGATAGAACCGTGGGAAGAAATGGATAGATCCCCTGCCAGTGGGAGGTTCTGACACCCCCCTTTTGGTGTCAGGCAGGCAGAAACTAAGCAAGGTTTAGAAGGGAGCGAGGGCACGTTCGGAATTCTGCATCCAGCAATTAGGACACATCCTTCGCAAGCCTTGGAAAGCTCCTAAAAGCTGTTCCTGGTGTAAGCCGTAGAGCAAGCCTCAAAAGTTTTCGAAAATTGGTACCATACGGAACATGTTCCCTAGCTATACACAATTAAGTTGGAAGTTAATAATAAAAAATTAAAAAATCTCGGCATATTCGGATGTATAAACTATTGCTGAACGACTCAGTTGAAGAAAAGAAACCAGAATGGAAATGTTCTTTAGGGGGGACTTTTGCTTATCCTGTTGCTTTGCTCACGCCTCCTGGAATTCTGATTTTACGCTCACGCTGCGTCTCCTGTCTTAGTCTAAGTCTCATACAGTTTCACTCATACTGTCTTTTCCCACTTCCTCTAAGGTCTGGGAGAATTCCTTGAGCAATAATCTTAACTCACCGACTGGTTTTCTAGAATATCCAACCTCTTGCTCATGTCATCTAGTGCAATTTAAAAAAATTTATTTTGGTCATTTTCAAACACACCCAAAAGTAGAATAGTGTGATAGCCCCCCAGGTGCCCATCACCCAGCCTCACAGGTATCGACTCCTGGCCAATCTTGTTTTATCTTCACCCCTCAACTTTCCCTCCCCCATTGTTTTTGATCAAATCCCTGGCATCTTGCTTCATCTATAAATATTTCAATAGTTACCACTAAAATATATCTGTAAAAAAAAATTATCATATCTTAAAATTTCGACAGTATTCGGAGACGCCGTATCTTTGCCCGAATCCGGGGTGGGGAAGCACTCCTGTAAGTGGCTGCGGCTGCGTGTCCCTCCGTCAGGCAGCACATGCTCACGCGCTCTGCTGGGCTGCTTACAGCCAGGGATGCTGAATTCCCAGATCTAGTAGTTTATTGGGGACATTGCTTTGTAAAATTTGTCTTGGTAACTGTGTTTCAAATCGTAATCTCCCACAATGAGATCTTTTCAAAGATTCAATACCTCTCAAGTCCCGCTGAAAATATATCTCAGGGACGTTGATTAAAAGTTTTCTCCCATTTCATGTTTTTGTTTCATGGGGGAGTGTTTTTTCCAGTTCCTCAGAATAAACCCTTCTTTTGGACTATTGAATCTTTTCGCATATTTGGTGATTTTTTAAAACTGCTTATACTAAAGAAGGTCTGTGTTGGTTCACGAATAGGATTTCCTGTGGATTTGAGTGAGCACTTTCCCCGCAAAGCTCACGAGTTGAAATGAAAATCCTGTAGGCCTTTGAGTTGGCCTCTTCTTGGACTCTCCTCAGTTTGGTTCCGTCTGCATCCATTTACCGGACTCTCGTTTATTCAGCAGTAACTCATCAGAGATATTCTTCTGACAATTCAATTGTATTACAAATGCCTTTGTAGTTATATGAATGTGTGCTTAAAAGGAAGTAATGGAAATGTCCTCCACAACCTTTGATTATTACCTTTGGGGAGTGGGGTTATAGATTACATTTATTTTTTTCTATCTTTTTACTTTTCTGTATTTTCTAACTACTTTAAATACAAATTACTTACATAAATGTTTTTTCAAAGCTGAAAATTGTATCAGAAATTTTCCATAGTAGTACAGTTTAAGAAATAAGAAAGCCCCTGGTCTTCTTTAATACTAAAATAAAGCATTGTACTTCCTCAAATTATGCTTGACCTTAAAATAACAGTTGTAGCCAAATATATCTCAGCAAGACTATGAAAGTGCTAAAACTACCACACATGGGTTTGCTACCTTTTGTCCTGTATAGGAAGGTTTTGCCTAATAAATGACACAGCTTGGTGGGTGAAATTTTCCAAAACATTCTATCCTGGGCTTGGGGGCTGGGGGAACACAGTAGGGAGTGACTCTCAGGTGGAGAGATTTAGGCACCTGCTCCTGAGCTGTGCCCAGAAGTCTATAGTGACCACCCCCGCACCACCCCCCGCCTCCCACACAGGCATGCCAAGGCAGCCATCCAGACATATGCCTGGGCAAAGGGGACAACTCTTCTTAGAGCCCCAATCTTCCAAACTGCGGAGACGGTGAGCGTCAAAATCCCAATCCATATCACCTACGAAGCAACTGTATTTGGAGACTCGAAGATGTCAGAGGGCCGTGTGTGTGTGTGTTTTTACACATGCACCCATGTACCATTGATTTGTTTGGGGCAGTAAGTGATCTGTTGTGGCCTTGGGGAAATTGTGGGAAGGAGTTTGAGCAGGAAGAATGACCTTCAGAGAGCTCCTTGGAATGCTCAGAGAGATGACGGGTGATAGGTATCTACATGGTTATAGGAGTACAGAGAAATGCATGAATGACAGAGCAGGTAGCTAACATGGGTTAGTAGAACAGTGCAGGAGGATGGGCAGAGAGAAAGGTAAGTGAAAGTGAGAAGCAAGCAAACAGAAAATATGGAAACAAGAATGCACTAAAAAGAAATCTTGTGTGTCAGATCTTGTTTATGATAAATTATATCTTGGTGCATAAAATATTAGAAGGTAGACCTGCATCTTCCCAGCTGTAGGAATGCT